TGGGTTGACCAGCATCCTTGGAGGCCCGTATCATGGAGGCTAGTGTCACTTTGTGGACTAGGGGGCCGCACCCGTTGTAAATGACAAGACTGGCCATCTTGGTGAAAATCCATTGTCATTTTGGTCCAATCACATAGAGCAGGGCCCAAGCTACGCAACCAATGAACCCCCAAAATAATATCAGCCCTCGAGAAATCCAATGTGTGGAGATCCACCCCAAAATTATGGCCCTGTATGAGGATTTTTTCCTTCTTACATACACCATTACACGACATTTGACTCCCATTAGCCACATGGATTGAAAAGAGGAGTGGGTTGTATGGTCATACCTAGCTGCTTAGCCAAACGGCAAGTGATTAATTCAGGGTAGAGCCATTTTCAATCAAAATCATCACGGTCCGGCCCACCAATCTTCCTTCTACTCGCATGGACTGAAGAGAGTTGAGGCCCATGAGGGCGTGTAAGGAGATCTCGGCCCCGTCAGGTTCTGGTCCGTCTGGAATAAGTTCACAGTCATTTTAGTGCTCTGGGTTTGTCTCTTTCGTCTCTTCCTCTGTCTGTAGGAGAAACACCCGCTGGACCCGGCATTTATGGCCCTGTCCAAACTTATCATCACAGTTATAACAAAGGCCTTTCTTGCGTCGGGCTTGCATCTCAGCCCATGAGAGACGTTTGAAGGGCATAGTAGGCCGGGGCAATATGGGCTTCTGATGATCCCCAGCCGGTTTCATGGGCTGCTGATCGACCCGTGGAGGAGTCCTAAAATTCGGGTAGGTCGGTTTGCTAGCTCTACAAAGGTTGTCGATTCTTTCTTCTTGCAGGCGAGCCAATCCCACCGCAGCCATGACAGTCGCTGGACGAAGAGCCCTCACCTCTAGACGGATATCCTCTCTGAGACCTCCCACAAAACATCCTACTAAGGCTTTCTCCGGCCAGCCGTGTACCTTGGTCACCATCCGCTCGAACTCGAGCTGGTACTCTGCTACCGTTCCAGTCTGCTTCAACCGGGTGATCAGCTCGTCGTAGTCCTCGAATGCCGTCGGCCCAAAGCGGATGCACAAAGCTTTGGTGAACTTCGCCCAAGTTACCTGGGGATGATTCCGGCGATACCACTGGAGCCATAGAATCGCATCTCCTTCTAGATGAATGGAAGCAATGGAGACACGCTGGTGTGCGGGAGTTTCGTGGTATTCGAAATATCTTTCTGCTCGGAAGATCCAAGGAATGGGATCTCCACCGGAATAGTTGGGAAAGTTGATCTTAGTGACTTTTCCAGTAGGGTAATCCCCTGTTCTTTGGCTACTGGAAGCAGAGGCTTTCACTCCTGCTAGGTGATTGGTCTCGCCGGACTGTTGCTGAGAGACGAAGCTGGAGACGACCACTTTGAGTTCCTTGAGTTCGTTCAACACCTGGTGAAATCCAACCTCAAGCTGGTCGATTCTTTCATCCATGGTAGTGGAATGTGTCTGTGGCATCGTGAAGCCTGGGATTTGGATAGCCTGGCTCTGATACCAATCTGATGAGTTACCGCTCACCTCGGAAGCCCCTTCGAGGGTGGCTTAACCTCTTGAAACAAAAGATGGGAGGGAAAGGGGAAAGGTAGGAAGAAAATGACTTAGAGAGAGAGATGAAAGGGATATTCATTCACACCACTTATTACATGATCAGGGCCTTATATAGCTGGCCTACATGTATGCAATCATGGAGAGAATATCTTCTGGTGGCAGTGTAACTAACTCTTGGAGGCTCTGCCGCGTGTCACGCTATCTTCTCTGTCTTCTAGTGAAATGCTGCTTGGTGGTGGCCTTCTCCACTCCTATAGTTGGGTTCGGAGGGAGTGTTTGGGTCCCAACATGGTTTCTCTCTTTATTTGGTTGCAGGTGGACCCCCCCACCAAATGTGCAGAGCTTGTTTAACTCCATTTCTGTTAGTGGGTCAAAGAGGAGAGGCAAAATACTTTGGAGATGTGTTAGAGCCTTTATTTGTTGGACTGTTCGGGAGGAAAGAAACCAAAGAATTTTCTATGAAAAAGAAAGAAGTAAGGAGGTCATCATAGAAACCATAACTGTTAAGGTGGTTCAGTGGGTCAAGACTATGAAGCTCTTTGAGGGGTTTACAGCAGTAGATATTATTAAGAATTGGAAAGATGTAGCCTATTCAATTCCTCTTAAAGTTGTCACTAATCCAGGTTGGTCCCCTCTGGCTGGTGGGTTCACCAAATTGAATTTTGATGGTAGCAGTGATGGAAACCCAAGGCCATCAGGTATTGGAGGAGTTTTCAAGGATGAGGGTGGACGAACTATTGCATTATTTTTGGGCCCATTGGAATTGGGGATTCCTAGGAGCTGAAAACTTGGCAGTTTTCGAAGGGGTAAAGAGAGCAAGAGATTTGAATACAAAATATCTGATGGTGGAGGATGACTCGATGTTGGTTATTGGCTGGTTGCAGAATGAAGAGATGGGATTCTGGAAATTTTTAAATGAGAAAAAGAAATTTAAATGGCTGACTAAAGGCATGGAAATTAAGTTTCAATGGATTAAGAGAAGTGCAAACTCCTTTGCTGACTCACTTGCCAAACAAGAGGTGGGAAGAGATAGTCTTTTTTGGGCATTGTTGTAATATGAATATCATTCTCAGGGAGGGTTAAGAGATTTTACCCCTCTCCTTTCTATTGCACTTTATGCTATCATTATAAAATTCTGTTAACTATCCAACAAAAAATCCTTCTTCCTCTCTCTTTTGTTTTACTTCTAAGAAAGGAAATAGAGAGAAATAAACCATCTACGACCAGGTGCTTTTATTTGGTTGATTATGGTCCCTCTATCAACTCAAGACAGGTTAGGGTTTAAACCATTTACAGTCTTATTCCCAATGGCCGATTATGGTTCCCTTCAAATGAAAATGAAGAACAGAGAGATAAAAACCATCTAAAGTCAAATAGTCAATTTGACTAATGATGGTTCCCTTTTCATATACAAAATCCTGAAGAGTAATGCTGTCTACAGTCAGAATTTTGTTTGATTGACTACAGCTTGTTGTGAAGAAAGGAGTGAGAAGGAAATCTTCTTTGTAATAAAAAGAGAAGAAAGAGAGAAATGTATTGTTGTGGATTTCCTCAATTGTATTTTTTTTTTCTTTCTCATTTTTGTACACTTGAAGTATGTAAAAGAAATGCAAATGAAAAGTTCTTTTTAAGTACTCTATTATTTTTTTCTTTTGTTCTATGCATTCATTTCTCTAAGTCAGAATCAAAGGTGTTCTTTACTTTATTGTAGAGATGTAATTAAGGGGAACAATCCATATGATTCCTTGAATTGTCCTTACCCCAAAAAGTAAGAACTCAATCACTTGATTGAGTGAATTATATTGCATGAGAATTTCTTAAAATTTTCATACCAACAGCTAGATACTGTGATTGTGAAGCCTTTTTGCTATAGTTAGAGGCCTTTACTAGAGTAGATTTTATGCCATGGGAGGGGCTGTCCATAACAGTATGTCTCTACATATGTTCTGCTTGTATTCATTTCTTGCTATATAGTTTACAATCAATATGTTTACCTTTTCTCAAACCAAAAAGAGGAATCCCACAGACACACCTCTAAACCCCACTGGTGGGGATGGCAATTTTCAACCCAACCCGCTGAACCCACCAAACCCACCATTTATAGCCCACTGATTTACGTAGTGGATTGTAGATGGGTTGAATCATGAATGACCCATTGAGTAAAGTTAAATGGGTTGGGTTGGGTTGGGGATACGCATTCAACCCTAAAATAAAACCAGTTTCCTATTTAGGTGGTGGGTCAATGATTTAATTGTCAAAGTCAAATGAGTCTAACGGTAATGTAATAATTAAATAATAAAAATAGATAAAATACAAAAAAATCAGAGAACTTATAAAAAAAGCAGCAATACTATGGACAGCTTGGGAGGAAAGAAATTCAACAATATTTGAAAAAAGAGAAAGGAGCAAGGAAGCCTTGGTAGAAATCATAACCTTAAGAGTGTCACAATGGGCAAAAAATTTGTAACTGTTTTCAAACTTTAAGGTTGAAGACTTTTTTAGGGCCTGGGCTGTCATTGCTGCTTCATCTTCTAGAAAACAGAAACCTGCTGAGATGTGGTCACCCCCATTATGCGGCTGGAAGAAACTGAATTTTGATGGGTGTTGTCTGGGTAACCCGGGCCCCTCAGGCATATGAGAGGTAATTAGGGATGAGGAAGGAAACATTATAGCCTTATATTCCGGGCCTGCTGAACAGGGTGATGTGGCAAGAGCAGAACTGTTAGCTGCAGTATACAGGGTTGAGAAGGCAAAGGAGTTCAGCATTGATAGTCTAGTCATTGAGGGTGATTCGAAAACTGTTGTGAAGTGGCTGAAGAAAGGGGAGGGGGTGACATGGCACCTGAGGAATGATTTCAGGCGATTTAAATGGTTATCAAAGGATATGACTATCAGAGTTAAGTGGGTGAGAAGAACTGCCAACAGCTTGGCAGATGGTCTAGCTAAGCAAGGGGTACAAAGAACTCAATTGTAATATCTGGGTTGAGTCAGCTTTTCTATAACTGTGTTTTTCTTCTTTTTAGGCAACTGGATTAAGTCTAGTTTCAATGAGTTTGTTGCAAAATGGTTTAATTTGTAATTTGCAATATGAAACAGGTAAATTATTTTCAGGATGATTTTTTAATGTTTTTTTCTTAAATTTTATGAGTCTTTGTTCCACCTTCCAGAGAAGCAAATCAAGCTGCGGATTGGTTGGTGCATCAAGTTCTTTCTTCTTCTCCTAACCCTTTTTCTTTAATATCTTTTCTCTTCCCAGAGCTTTATTGTATATTTGTTTGAGTGTTTTTTGGGGTCGAGCTACCCCCCATCTTGTGTAGCTCCTCCTTATCTTACCAAAAAAAAGTTTCTTTTTTTTTTCCCTTTTTTTCCTTGTTTTTTCTGCATAAGAAAGACTGATGTCATAGTCCACTAATACCTTCTTTTTTCCTCTCCCAGATTTCTATACTGCATGGGATGTTGTTGCAAAGCATGTATTGGACTACATGGAAGACCCAATTGTTGCAAATGGGTATGAATGGATTAAGTGATTTCATCAATATGCTTTTAGGGATATTCTTGTCACTTTGTGGTGGAGCCTTCTATAGTTTTAATGTTGTTCAGCATCAACATTTATATACTCACACCAGGGAAGATGTAAAGACTGGTGCTGTGTATCTAGTACCCAAAGCACCCCTGCAAGCTAATACCTAGATATATTTATATGGTTGGCTTTTATGCATCAGACATGATATGTACTTGATATGACACCAGATACTCCATGGATGCATGTTGTAACTTCATGTTCACAATGATACATATCTGTGTCCTGTATTTCAGGAAATGGAGACTTATATCCCCATTTCCCATATTGGTGTTGATGTCCATGTATGCATCTGTCAATTGTAGTCTGAAAGAGGTTAGCAGAATCACTATAGGATGACAGTGTTATCCTAGAGGGAAGATCCCCCACTGTACCATCAGCCATGGACCAGGTGTCCCTATTACATATCCATCTAATTATGATCTGTTAATGACTCTGGAAGAAAAATCCTCTGTTCTAATTTCTAGGTCATACCTCTCTAACCCTTCTCATGGTTATATCATCTACCAAGGAATTGGTTAATTGAGGAATCCATTTGAGTGACACATTCGCTCTGAATGTCAATGATCTAGCCTCCTTAATGAAGTTGAAAAGGAGCAATGGACTAGGTGGTTTACCACACATCCATCCAACCCATGATCTGTTAGATCACCTTATGTTCAACCTCAACCGTCTTGAAACCTAAAGAGAACATCAATCCTATATCCTTGTAGTTGTCCCTCCCCAGACCCCACAGTGGTGGGAGCCTCATGCACTGGGCTGCCCTTTTTTAGCTATGATTACTATTCATCATGTTTTTCCCCATATATCATGAATGAAGCATAAATAAAATTTGGGCATTTTCATTCTTTTTTTTTTTTCTTAAAATGCTGCCCTTTTTATCTACTTATGTGCAGTTTATGCATTCTTCTGAGATGGGGTGCAATGGATGTGGAAGCATATTCAGAAGCTTCAAGAAGTGTTTTGCAGATTCTGTGGGAAGTTGGAAATCTTAGACAGGCTGGCTATAGGTGGATTAAGGCACGGGTCTCTGCCTTTGAGTCATTGGCCTATTATGAGGTAAAATTCTTGGTTGCTGCTCATGTGTTTCTTTTTTTTTTAATTCACTTTTTTCCCCTTTGAATTTCTCTCATGTCGTCCCTTCTTACACCTGCAATGTACACTATTTTCCCAGGTAGATTATATTCAGAAAAACATTCCTGATTTTAAGAAAAGGAACGTGGAGTTGCTCATTTCTGAAGACAATCCTGATGTACTCCAGGCCATGGAGGGCTTTGAAGTCAAGATTATGACATTTGAGCACATGTTAGGAATGTGTATTATTTTATTGTTTTTTGTTTGCTCCACATTCTTAAGGATATGATTGAGGTGAGGATGCTCATTACCTCTACTCATCTGGTTTCAGCACTCGACGCCGACTGTTAAAGGAAAAAAGAAGTACAGGGAATAAAATTGAAAAGTTGCTTGACGTCATTCCTCAGGTCGTTTTTACTAAAGGTATTAAGGAACCTTCTTGGAACTTGCATAATCTTGGTGATTTTCTCTGAAAGAAATGCATCTACTTCTGAAATTTTGAATTTCTAATTGAACGAGTGTTTTTGACATAAGATAGATGGTAGGCCTTTGGTTTCTAGTAAGGGAAGGCAATAGTTTTATCACCCCTTTCAAGAGATTGCTAATTGTTTCGTTAATCACTTTAAAGAGGTTTACAAGAGACAAGAGGGCACTAGGTATAGCCTGGTAGGCTTAGATTGGCCAAGCTTGGACCCTGAAATGGCACATTGGTTGGAAAGGGATTTTGAGTTGGAAGAAGTAGGGGTTGCGGTGTTCTCAATGAATAGATCTAAAGCTCCAGGGCCAGATGGTTTCACTATGGCTTTTTATCAAGATTGTTGGGATATTATCAAGTTAGATCTATGGGCACTCTTTGAGGAGTTTGCCGAGGAACATTTCATTAGCCCAGGGATTAATTCCACATTCTTAACTTTGATACCTAAAAAGGGAGATGCTATTCAACCAAGAGATTTCAGACCTATCAGTTTGGTGACTAGTATCTATAAGATAGTGGCCAAAGTAATTTCCTTGAGGTTAAAAATAGTTTTGTCCTCTCTAATAAGTTAATCACAAGGGGCTTTCATCCAAGATAGACAAATCATTGATCAAGTCCTAATAGCTAATGAGTGTGTGGAGGATTTTAAGAGAAGGGGAATGAAAGGTTTCATTTGTAAATTGGATATGGAGAAAGCGTGTGATTTAGTAGATTGATCATTTTTGATGGAAATCTTGAGGAATGTTGGGTTTGGAGATAGGTGGTGTGGGTGGATTGAAGGTTGTTTGACAACTGCTCATTATTCAGTGCTAGTTAATGGATTGGTTAGAGATTTCTTTTCAGCTACTAGAGGTTTGTGACAAGGGGATCCCTCTCTCCCTTCCTCTTTACCTTGATAGCAGATGTTTTTAGCAGACGTATCTTGAGAGCAGGCATGATGGATTTGATTAGAGGATGGAGGGTTGGAAGAGAGGGCGTTTTTGGTAACACACTTACAGTTTGCAGATGGCACTATCCTCTTTTGTGTGACTGGGGATCCTTGGATAGCAAGGAATTTGAAAGGGGTGATAAAACTATTTGAGGTTGTGTCAAAGCTAAAAATCAATTTTCAAAGGAGTTGTGTAGTGGGGCTGAATTTAGAGGAGGAATTGGGTGAGGTAGCTGAGGAGTTAGGTTGTCTGATTTCTAGTTGGCCTTTGAGATATTTGGAGGTGTGCTAGGGCTGCACTGGTTTGGACTGTTTAGGAGGAAAGAAATGCCAGGATTTTTGATGAGGAGAGGAATGAGGTAATTGTATGGGAGTGTTTAATTAATAGAGCAATCAATTGGGTGAAAACCTTGGAACTATTTTCTCCTTTTTCCTTTGATGATTTATGGAGAAATTAGGAAGTGGTGGCCAAAAGTTCTAGCACGAGACCTAAACCATCAATAGAGTGGAAGCCTCCTCAAGAGGGTATCATTAAGCTCAACTTTGATGGTAGCAGTTTAGGCAATCCGGGTCCTTCTGGTGTTGGGGGAGTGTTCAGAAATACAGACGGACTAATCATTGCTTTATATTCTGGACCTATAGGAGTAGGGGATTCAGTTAATGCAGAAATTAGAGCTGTGGTACAAGGAGCTGAATTTTCCAGAGAGCTGAATTGTGAACAGCTGTTAATTTAAGGTGATTCCAAGCTGGTGATCCAGTGGTTAAAAGAACCAGAAACAGCAGCCTGGTCCTATAAAGGGGATTTACGAAGGTTTAAATGGCTAACTACAAAGTACAAACATGTCAGTTCAATTCCAATGGGAAAGAAGATCAGCGAATAGGTTAGCAGATTCACTAGCTAAACAAGGGGTGCATAGGAACCAGATGTATTGGGCTAAACTGTAATTCTGTGTTTTATTCTGAGGCTGCATCTCGTGTCTCATCTTGGGAACTTTCTGTGTATCTTTTTGCCTCTAATCTATTAATAAAATCACTCATTATTCATCAAAAAAAAAAAAACAAGTTGACCATTGAGGTTTGGTTACCGTCTCAGTTAAGGATGAAATTAAACTTTGATGGATGCTCATCAGGTAATCCAGGCCAGTTGGGAGTTGGGGGTGTCTTCAGAAATGAGGAAGGAAGAGTTTTGGCCCTTTACTCAGGCCCGATAGGGGTGGGAGATTTCTTTGAGGGCAGAAGTCATAGCCTTACTTCAAGGACTGAAATTGACAAAACAATGGGGTATGCAACACTTAGAAGTGGAAGGAGACTCCAAGCTGGTAATAGGGTGGATGCAATGTAGAAACTTGGAGTATGGTCACTTAGATGGCCTCTAAGAGATTATTAGCTTAGCAAGGGAACTTGGGTGCAATTTAATTGGGTAGGAAGGTTAGCAAATGGAATGGCTGACACTTAGCTAAGCAAGGAGTTATTAGGGAGACTTTGTCTTGGGCTTGTATGTAAGACTTTTTATTCTGATTTTCCACCCATCCTTTGGGTGGTGATAACTGTACTCTCCTTTTAATATCTTTAATGAAAGTTACCGTTTCTTATAAAAGAACAAGTTGACCATTGAGACCAGACAACTTTACAAGATTACAATCGTGCCCAGAACAATTATTGTTTATATAATTCTGAATTTCTTGCTGATCAAAAAATAAGTTGATCATCGAGGGGGACTCTATGATATAGTGGTGGGCTGGTTAAAGAATCCTGACACAGATCTTTGGAAGTATAGGGAGGTTCTCAAAAGGTATCAATGGTTAACCTCCAATGTGGAGGTAAATGTTCAATGGGAAAGGAGAACAGCAAATGCGATAGCTGATGGTTTAGCGAAACAGGGGGTGCATAGGGGCAGTTTTTTTTTGGGCATAATTGTATCTCTTGTGCGATTCTTGAGGCTGCATCTTATGCCTCTTGTTAGGGTTTTTGTAATATTGTACTTCAGTTGCTTAATATGATTTAATGACTTCTACTTATCATAAAAAATGAGAGTTCAGAAACTAACAAGGATTTTAACAAAATAGAGAAAAAATGAGAAGAAAAGATGAAAGTCATTAATCGAAGAAATGGAAGGGGGCTCTACCAGATCCTTTCTTTGGCCAGAATTGGCATAAACTAAGTGATAACAGCAAGGAAATTCTCAAACATCATCTATCATAAAAATCTAGATTCTGGTGGTAATCTTCTTTCTCACCTGATGGGGAAAGGAGGCAGACCATAACAGCTTTGCACTGTTAGAGATCATTTTAATTAACAAAACTCTGAATTATAAAAATTAAAAGTAGAACAATAGATATGGACATGAAAATCAAAAACTATCTAAGAAATGGAACTCATCCTACTTATATATAAACAACCATGGTATGAAGCATTCTTATATTTGGTTTGTTCTCTTACAGTGTTCGTATTTAACTTTTCACATGCAGGACAAACAAGCAAGAATGTTAATGAATTAGCTGGTGCAGCTCTTTTATGTCTTTCCTTTACCCCAAAAAATTTACATAACCTAGGGATGTCAAAGGTAAGATTGTAAAAATATGCTTTATGATAAGATACTTTATTTGGTTTTATTATGCTTTTGAATTAGGAATATTGTACTTTGCTTTCAGGAATTATTGGACCTGCATGCTATGCATGAAGATGTTTTGCTTGAAGCAGCTGAATCTTTGCAGCTCTCAAGAAATATTCTGCTAGCACTTCTTTCTCTGCAATCTTGGAAACCCTTCATGCAACGCTGGATGAGGGCAGTTGTTATGTTTATTGATGCTAAGGCTCCATCCAGTGTGTTGGATAAAACTTCAAAGGCAGCTAATGATATTTTCAAGGTTTGCTGTCCCTCCAACAGATCACTGTACAGATGGTGCTTGAAATTAATTCCAGAAAAGAAAAACATTAGGTCCATCATCTTTTCTTTTTTGCCAGATTAGTATAAAATATGTTGTAATTCATGTAGATTACTTTATCTGCTGCTGTCGCTTGTGAGATTCCTTCTTAGCCTATATGTGGTTTTGCATTGCATTCTATTAAATGCATAGGTTTTAAACAACAGTATAATAATTTCCTAGTTTATGCAGATTCTTTGTAGAATTGCAGAAGAATCTATCCCCCGATCTGCTGAGAACATGGCACTAGCCATGGGTGCATTGTGTGTGGTAAGAATTTTTATACCTTGTGGTCCTTGCTATATATTCTCATAAATGCTTTTGGATGTGAGCATTGCTGAAAATAGCTTTCCTTTTCCAGATCCTAATAGATAAACATGTTAGGTCAAAGTTATTTCTGTTTTTGATTGGTATCCAGATTAAAAGAATTATGTTATTCCTTTCATTGCCATTATTTTGTTATATAGTAAAGGAAAGCTTACAGTGAAGGGGATATGTATTCCCAGATACATGTCAAAATGATTGATATGATGGTACTCGGTTTTGAAAAATCCATCAAAACAGAAAAGAAGCATGAATACAATCACATGCTACTAATAAGAAAGAAGGGAAATGCAGCCCAAGTCGATTTAACATAAAAAAATGCTCTTTCAATATTAGGACTCTGTTGATATATTTGCTTTGTTTTTTATTTTGTGCTAGTTTTTTCTTTGTTATAGGGAATAATGGCAACCGCGGATAAACTGACCATTTTATTGTAATTAGAAGTTGACTTATAAATGGAATAGAGGCACATGTCTCATGCTTTTTGGTTGGTTCTCTTTCGTATATTCTCTCTTCTTCTTACATAATACATGGTATACTTTTCACTTATAATTCTAAGTAACTGATTAGAGATTAAACAAGTGACTTGTATAAATTCTTCTAAGAATTTCTGGCAAGGCTAGCAATTAGAGCACTAGCTGAGTTTGGAATCAATTAGAATGAGGAGTTTATTCTGGATGCCAACTCCCTAGCCTCCACAATAGGATGTCTCAATATCCATTCTATTAGGAATAAGGCACAAGAAAGAATTCTCCAGAGGGTCATGTTGTTTCTTTTTTCTTTTTTCTATTTTAGCCTCAAGTAGGAGGGGCTAAGGTTCTTTCAGCTGTGACAGTGCAGATGACAAAAATCTTCACTGGGCCAAACAAGTGATACTTGATACAGATAAAAGAGATTCCCATCCAAGCTGCAAAACTGCAAGAACAGAAAAGATGACAGATGCTTTCACAGAAGGTCAGATGCTGTTTTTGATACAAGGTTTTATTTTACCAGTTTCCATGGGATATTGTCTTCTAAGTAGAAGTTAGGGGGAGGGGGGCAGAACCATTGTCACTACTTCAAGGGGCTTTCTTATTGGCTTTTGTTGTACTTGAGGCATCACTGAGGGAGACTCTAGATTGTGATAAATCGAATAAGAAGCATATTGAGTGGCCCTTGGAGGTTGTTGACCATCAGGTTATAAAACTGAGATTTTTAACCTCCAGGTTGAATCCATTTTGGGTATGGAGATCTGCTAATTTTTGGGCAAAAGTAGAATCGGTTTGTGAGGACCAATCTATTCAATGGAACCTTTTTGCAGTATAGATATACACATTTATGTCCTTGAGCTGCCTGTATGCTTCTTCCTATGCTTTGTACTTTTTTTTTATTATTAATAGTAAATTCTATTAAAAAAGTTACTGTTTATATACAGTACAGTCCTACACTCCAAGTTACTTAGAGAGGTAGGAGAAAAAAAGCTTCACAGCCATTGGCTAACAGAATCAAAAAGTCCAAGTTTAAAACATATTACAGAAGTTCCCCTGGGCCTAGCACCTTCATTCTAATTCTCTTTTGTTAACCCTCTACCTGGCTAAACTGTCTGCTAAGCTGTTAGTGGACCTGGGAATTCAACTGAATAAACAGTTCAGACAGGAAGGATAAACCATTGCTCTTGTGATTTGGATCTTAAACATTAAGTTCCTTCAGTCTTCGATAGACACCAACTGATCACAACTTGTCAATCTCCCACAACAACCAAGCTACCCCTGTCCCTACAACTCATTAATAATTAATACAATTTTTGATTGTTAAATAGAAAAATCCTTGGTGGAGATTTTGTATTTCTCATTCTCAAATAACCAAAAGTGATTATTTCACAATACGTCCGATTGCCTGTAGTACTACTAATACTTGTGAAGCCTGTCGTGCAGTTGTGGGTTTTCTATGGTCCTATTTGGTTGCGATAGAAAAATATGTTCTTTTTTCCCATGCTATTACCATGATCTGGTCTTTTGTACTCATTTCATTTAACATGTTTTCTTATGGGCAGGTTTTACCTCCGTCTGCTCATGCAGTGGCATCATCTGCCTCAAAGTTCCTGTTGAAGTGGTTGCTTCAGTACGAGCATGAACATAGGCAGTGGGCTGCTGCAATTGCACTTGGGTTTGTCTCAATTGGTTTGCATGCAACTGATTACAAGCAGAAATTTCAAATCATTAGTGGACTTCTTAAGGTGGATAGAATTCTGATACAATATTGTTTGAAATGTTTACTACGTGGATTTATTTTACACATGGTATTTTTTTTATTGTACATGTTCTTTTTTTTGCCCATTATGTTCCTCTGGAGGTGGCGCAGTAGTTGCAATGGAGTGCTAGGATGGAATTGGAATCATTTCCTACTCCCACCTTGATTTCCTGGAATTCAAATAGCTACCCCCTCTCCCCAACAAAAGAAAAAAAAAAAAAAAAAGGAACTCCAGATCAAACAAAAACCAAGAATTGAAGGGGAAGACATTTCAAATTAGGCTTAACTTTGAGAGTGAATCCAAACAGTAAAATTTAGACATTTTCCAAATATCCGCCCCCACCCAAAAGCAGTTGCATCTTTGTTAACAAAAGCATATTTATTATGAGAATGTTAATTATTATAAATAATGATAGAGAGAAATAAGGTGATCCTTCAATGGTTTGTGTCTTAGATTGAAGATAAAAAGGTAATGGAGGTTTGAATATTTAAATTGCATATTTGTAACTAGAGCTCCTATTCATAATGAAACATCCAAGTCAATGATTGTTTACCTAGTTTTTCAAAAATATGAAAACCAGGGTTCTATGATCAAATGTTTTAAAAGCTCAAGGTGAAAGAAAAGCACAAGGGCCTTTTAGCACCAGAGGTGCAATGCACAAGGTGTGAGGTGAGGTATATGCCTTTCTGAAGCAAGGCACTAATTTTTGAGTTATCCATTTTCCTTTTTCAGTATATCTTTAATGTACAAATATTTTTAATATTAAATGTTTGGGTATTAAAATACCACCGAACTGGTTGTCTCCAGGAATTATTTTTTCATTGGGTCCTATTTTCTGAATTTATGCACTATGAATTATATATTAAAATGGATTACTGCTGCTGCCACATTTTTCTTGGTGGTTTACATTCTTTCAGGTTCTTTCTGATAGCAAAAGCATTCTTGTCAATGGAGCCTGTGGGGTTGGCCTGGGTTTTATTTGTCAAGATCTTCCTACTGGTGATGAAGCTGCTGATGATTTTAATTTGGTAGAAGAGACTGACCAGATGAAGGAAGCCAACTTACTTGGAAAGATTGTTAGGACCCTAGCTCTGAAGATATGCCAGTTTATTCCATCTTCATCTTATTCTCTGCAGAGTCTCTGTGATTATTTTCCCGTAGACATAGATCATCAGGATGGATGTGGAACTTCTGAATTGTCTTACAATAACAGTAATAATATGGGGGAAGATGTCTGGGGTGTTGCAGGACTCATCCTTGGTCTAGGAAATTCTGTTAGCACAATATACAGATATGGGGCCCATGACGCCTTGCTCAAGATAAAGGCCTTGATTACATCATGGATTCCGTTTGTGAATCCTGGTCTTCAAAACCCTTGTGGCGGTAATGAGAAGCCGGAGATATCATTATCAGTGGGTTCCTGTCTTGCACTGCCAATTGTGGTTGCCTTTTTCCGGAGGGTAGAACTCATAGATGATGGTGAACTAGATCATCTAGTCAATGGCTACAGAGAACTAATTTCTGAACTTCTTTCTGTAAAAAAATCTGGAAATTTCCATCCGAGTTTGTTGATGGCATCATGCCTTGGAGCAGGAAGCCTCCTCTCATCCATTTTAAGTGAAGGATCACATCCTATTAAAGCTGAAGATGTCAAAAGCTTGATGGAATTGTTTAGGAGATGTTACACCAATCCTTATCCTTCTACAATTCACTTAGGTGGGATGCTTGGAGTTGTTAATGCATTGGGTGCTGGTGCAGGGATTCCTACTGGTGTATATTCTTGGCCCTCCAATTTGCAAGCTGCACATGAGCAAAAGGTGATTACACTCTACCAGATACTATTCCCTAGTTCATTGGCACAATTAATTGTATCTAGTTTTGGTTGACAGGATTCACCTTATATCAGAGGGCCTATCCTTTCATGTCCTGTTTGTGAGCCACTATCGACATCCTACATGCAAGAGCTGTTCCTAGTTGCACAGGATTCCAAGGACCAGCAACTAAGAAGACATGCTGCCTGGGCTCTTTCATTTCTTAGACATCAATGGTGGTCCAAGGAATTCCAAGCTGTGAAAGATAGTCCTCAGAGTAACCTAAATGATCATATGCCTGTTTCACAAAGTTTTTCAGAGGACAGTACAGTCTTGAAGCTTAGCATGTGGCTTTTGGATCTTGACTGTTCTGGGGTAGGTTTTCTTTTACCAGCTTTTAAATGCTAATTGAGATGAGATGCTTTAATATGTTTTTGTTTCTGTAGATGTATTCTTTTCCTATGAAATATGGTTTTTTTTTGGCACCTTACGGAAGCTGTTTGTTCATATTTGCTTATTCTCATATGATATGTTATCAATTTCTAGATCAATAAACTGCTATCTGCATTTTTTTATCAATAACTCAACCTTTTATTAATTAATATAAAGGAATGTACAATACATTAAATACAACTGGACTGTGAGAGATAAAACCTTTTATCTCTCCCCCTACAATCAGATCCCTTACAGTTATGCCCTGAAAAATGAACCTCTCTCCACCCCTTGTTTAGCTAAGGCATCTGCTACAGAATTTCTATTTGCATTTTCCAAAACCAGAATCAAGATTAATCTATCTATTTGCCTTTAGAAGCTCCAATCAAGAAGTGTACATTTGATGTGAAAGCTTACTTGTGGAGTACATTATCTCCATTTTGTGAAAAGGATCAATTATGTGCCAGTTTTGAGACCCAGTACATGTATAAAGATGATAGTGAAGATCCCTCTTGATCACTGTTTTAAAAGGCACTGAGGCTGGCATACAAGAGAGGCATAGACACAATTGTTGAATACACTCATAGTTTGGAGGCACTTAGGTTTTGCCTAGTACCATCATACACTCTTACCGTTTAAGCCAAATTTTTAAAATGAGATGTTATAAATAGGAGTGCGAGTATTGATAAAAAAAATAAATGGAAGTGTGAGAACCATTTCATTGTGTTCACAATTACATATTAAACATTAGAAGAGATGAGGAAAACCTTCCTCATTGTTTTCAGGCTCCATTGGGATTGGAGATTCTTTGAGAGCTGAGATCTATGCTGTATTGGAAGGTATTAGAAAGAGCAAGGAACTGAAATACAAAAATTAATTATTGAAGGGGACTCAAAGTTGGTGTTGAACTGGATGCAGAGGGGAAGTGGCCTTTGGAAGTTCGCTAATGAAAGAAAGGAAATCAAATGACTAACTAGGGGGGTGGAAATACAATTTCAGTGGGTGAAAAGAACAGCAAAAGCCTTTGCAGATGCTTTGGCAAAACAGGGTGTGGGAAGGGTTCATTTGTACTGGGCTGTATTGTGAGCTTGTTGTTGCTTTCTTGGGAGTGTTAAGACTTTTTAACTCTATGATTGCTGTACTGTTGTTTTTATATATTAATATAATGAAATTCTGTTACTGATAAAAAGAAATGAGGAAAACCTTCCAGACTTGTTTATTATAATAAAATACTATAAATATAACTTTTGGCACCATTGCTTTAATTGCTTTCAATGCTATACATTCATTTCAATATGAGATGACAAACTAGATTTTGCTAATAATATGCAATTTATGTGAATTGTTAAATTTTGACATAGTGATTTGCAACTTTGTAAAGCAATGTATTGTTACTTAATAGCTGATAATACTTGTATAACTATGAATGGTGATACTTCAACTTTATATTTAAAATTAATGGATTTATTATTAGAAGTTGTAAATATGAAATTTTATATGTTATTATAATTTTTCCATTTTTTGGGATATCTAATATATTTTTTTACATATTTAGTTTTCAGTTGTTTGTTAATTACAAAATCCATGCTTGGGAGGCTTACACCTTAGGATAGTGGAACGCTGTGTCATGCCTTTATGTTTAAAACTTTGAGATATGTACAAAAACTGAGACATATATTAACCCTCTTGACTTAAAATAGAGAAAAGCTTAAAATGGTTAAGGGGTGTTTAGAATGAATTGACCCCTGCCCTAAAGAGCTTCATTTATATTAAAAGATATGTACAAATATAGAAATTTCCTTACAGGGTTGAAAGAGAAAAAAAAAAGAATAAAGAACAAGGTACAAAGTACAATAGGGACCATACTATTAAGATGCATCAAGTCACATAATCTCCACACTCCCCTTCAAACTAATGTGCAGACATGAGCACCAATTTGCCCAAAAGAAAGAGATGTTGGGCCCTAGTCATAGCTGATAGCTATGATTATAACCCTAGCAAGTGCACTAGTTATCAAGTAGTATAAAGATATCGTTCCCACGAGGATTTAACAAAATAAGTATTAGAACTACA